GGCGTCGGATCACGGACAATCTTACCCTGCATAGATCATGAGGCTGTGAGTTTTCGAGCATTCTGAGGCCGTTTGCAAAACTAACCGAATTTTTTCACTCCGTTACGAAATTACTCCTAGTTTAATAAGAAAAGTACCTTATCTGCTGACTTCACCAAATTTTCCTGAACCTCCTTCACATGCCAACTCAATTTTTTTCTAACTACAAGCAAATGCACACATCTAGTACTATGTAAGCGCACACGTTACCGTATCCCAAACCTTACCAAACTACTAACCGTTCCAGTGGTTTTGTCTACGCCTTCCGAAGCCATATCTCCAGCATAGTCCTTAGCATCTGAAGCTTTTTGCTTGGCTGCATCGATGGTATCTCCAACATAATCCTTGGCATCGTAAGCCGCCTGCTTCGCGCCACCGGCGGCATCGCTGGCCTTTCGCTTGACACTGTCTACGGTGTCTCCAGCGTAGTCCTTGGCATCAGACATGGTATCGCTGACATAATCGTATGCATCTCCAGCCAAGTCACCGAGTTTCTCTTTGGTCCATTGAATCTGCAAAACAGAATTTTTTTGAAAAATTACTAGATTGCCGGATAGTGTCTATTACGATTTTGTAAAATTCTCAAAAATTCCGGAAACTTTCACAACCTTCAATTTGTCCCATATGTAGGGCTCGACAGGACGTACACAACAGCATGACTAATGCCGCAAATGCACAGATAGCTAGCAAGTTTGCGACAGCTTTGTAAGCACACTCAAAATGGTTCTTTTTTCTCTGAATTTTTCTTCTAGGTCTAACTGTATTTTTTTTCTTATTTACTATTTTTTCAAATCATATTTGTGCATTGTCGGTTGCCGCTAGCACGTCAAAATCGAGAGGCGAGACATAAATAAAAAATAAAATGTCGAAAATTTTCTGTGTGCATCAAGATTTGATACGTAGAGGTTGGAAATAATTTTTATAACTTTTTAAAGATTGTTCTTCATTCAAGATGCGAGACTTTCCACCACGTCAGCAGTCCTTGAAGAAGAATTTTTGCAAATCTCCAAAATTTTTTAGGAAATGAATACAAATTAACACATCAGTAGCCATCCTTTAGACAGAAAACGGATGACTTGAATTTTTGCCATTTCATTGATTTTTGTATTTTCTATACTGTAGAGTACTTGAACACTTAGAGCATTTTTTATACCCCTACAAAATCAAATCAAAGAAATTTACCTTGTTTCCAGCATCATCGACGTAGTCACCGGCCTTGTCTTTGACGTATTTGAGCTAAAAAAAAATACAGTAATCTCTAAAA